GACCTGGGCTAGGGCTGGGTCTGGGGGCTCCCGGAACTCGGCAGAAAATCCTACTCGGTGGGCAGGGTGGGGGAGGCACTGCGGAGTGGTGGGGGGTGGCCCAAGGGGCTGGGAGAGGGTCCCTCAGGTGCTCTTTGTTATGGAAATATTTCTCCATCAATTTTGAATGACAGTTTTGCAGGATGTATCAGTCTGGGTTGGAGATTTTTCTTTTAGGGCTAGAAATGCTTCATTCCGAGTTGACCTTGATGTTAGTGTTTCTCCGATTGCGTTTTTTGAAGTCCCTAGCTACTTTTAAGAAATCTTTTTGTGTTTGCTACCCAGAAGCCTGTCTTCTAGGTCTGACATTCTGTCCTCACCCTGGCTGATTCTGCTCTGTATATTGTCAATATAATTTTTAAACTTCTGGACGTCAATTTGAGTCTGTTTCATGGGTTCCATTTTTCCTGTGTTGGGCATTCATTGTTTGCATCATTTTCTTAAACTCCTCTTTTTTTTTTTTTTTTTTAAATCTGTGTGGACTCTAGAGTCAGTAACCGTGTCTTTTGTTCTGGTCATTGATAGGTGTTTTTCAGGTGAATGACACAGCATAGAAACAGGCAGAAGGAAAAAGGAAAAGGGCTTTGTTTTCTTTGAGGACACAGGAGAGAATGTGGGGAAGGCTGAAGCTGAGGCTGCTGTGGCCTTTTGCCGGGGTGGAGTTTGGAGGGGATGTGTACCTGCGAGGCTGATGGGGGCTCTTCCCTGAAGTGGTGGGAAGGGTGAAAGTAAATTATGCCCTGGGCTAAGTTGGGGAAGGCGGAGCTGGTCTTGGGAAGATGGGCTTGTGTTTTAAGGGCATCAGCCATATTAGATGACCACCATGATGATTTTAGCAATTCGCTCTAGGGCCTGAGCCTATTATTCTCATCTTTTGGTTGTTATGAAAAGGGGCATTATCTTAGACTGCTTCCTGCTGAATGGGGCCGTCATCATAGGAGTGAGAAGGATTGACAGGATGATGGTTTATGCCCATGTTAGTGCCAGGTGTCTCAGTTAAGACTAGAAGTTTATCATTAGTGACAACTCGCATTGGAGACTGAAGAAACCTTGAAAAAGTTTAAAAAGACAGCATGTTATAAGTATATTTTTCATCATGATTAAAGGACATAAGAGGGGAAGTAAGAGGGGGGTCTATGATCTGAATGTGTTATTTTATCATGACTATGTTGAAGAGGAGTATTGATCTTTAATTTTTTATATCAGTGTGAGGAAAGGGAGGCAGGGTCATCTGCAGGACCTCAACACAACTATACTGAGGGGCCTCATCAGAAGTATGGAATAACGTGGCAGGATTGAGAGGGCTACAGGTAAAAATAGTGATAGAAGGAGTTTTTATGAACATTAGGTGGATCTGCCATATAAAGAGTTATTAGGGCTGGAATTACCTGACATGTGATGAGTTCACTAGGTGACAGGGTGAGTGGACTGTGATAGTCTGAAGTGAACGTTTTGTCTCTTGTGTTAGTGTGGCAGCTGCTGTGAGTGTGTGGAGACATGGAGTCTATCTGTGGGCTGTGTTGTCCAGTTGTTTAGAAAGGTAGGCTACTGCCTGAAAGGACGATCTCTTTTTATGTCTTAAAACACCCATTGTGTTGTGACCATGAGAGGTGGTGTGTAGGGTAAAAGGCTGAGTGGGGTTGGGTGAAGTGAGAGCCGGGCCTCTTAGGAAGGCCTGTTGTAGCTTGTGAAAGGAGGAACTGTAGGAGCAGTGGAATCAAGGGGCTCTAACAGGGAACCCTTCGATGCCCTGTAGAGTGGCTGTGTCAGAGAGGCCAAGTTGGGAACTCAGAGGCGGAAAAGACTGGTCAAACCAAGGAAGGAGAGAACTTGCCATTTTGTGGTAGGCACCTGAAGGTCATGAAGGAGAGCTTTCTGGTTTGCTGTGATTACACGAGTAGTAGGAGTGAGGGTGAGTCCTAGATATTTGACTTTTGGTGGGGCTATTTTTTTTCCATAATTTTATTGATAAACAACTAGCAATGAGACAGTTTCAAATCAAATTTGTAGGACAGTTTCAATAATTAACACATTGCATACATTCCTCCCAGTGGTTAATTGCTGTACAAGATGCGAACATGATCTCCTATCTATAAACACCATTAGAACAAATCATTCTAACCACTTTGAATACACAGATACAAAATGGACATTCATCTGCATCCCCTTTTTTTGTTAAGTTCCGTTATTTGCATACTATAGATGTGTTAAGGTGTGGCTATTTGAACTTGGGTGGGAGAGACCCTGTGACCTTGTCCTGACAGGAAATTGAGAAGAGTATCTGTGTGTCGTAGGGCTAGGGCATGAGAGAGAGAGTAAAGGAGGAGGACGTCAGTGTATTGGAGGAGCAGGCTGGGCTTGAGGTCAAGGGTTTTGGCTAAAGAAGTGGGGACTATCTCTGAATTCCTGAGGTAGGACTGTCCATGTGAGCTATTAAGATTGGACAGTGTCTGGATCAGTCCATGTGAAGGCAAAGAGGTCTTGCTTGGCATTTTGGGCATAAGGGAATGGTGAAGAAAACATGTGGGCTGGAGTCTCTTCTGATGTTTGGGGCTATCAGGTATTGGAGAATGTAGGGAAACACTGTGGGATCTTTGAGGCACACTTAATATAGGAACAGCATGTGTGGCACGAGTGGGACTGGAAGTGTCTCAGAGTATGTGGTTGACAAGGGAAGAGGGAGGGAGGAGCTAGCTGTACATTGAAGTTGGGTTTGTAGGATGTACACTGTTGGGGGAGAGAGGTGAGAGGAGTGGAGCTTTTGGAGGAGGTTGGGATGGGACAGGTTGGGATCACAAGGAAATTACGAGTGAAGACTAGTCAAACCTGCTGGAGTCAGCAGAGAATGGGCCTGTCTGAAAGGGGTCAGGTAGGTTGGCCATCAACACCCACTATGGAGACTGTAAAGCTAGCACAGTGACTTTAGAACTCAGGTACAACATTATACATGGTCACCCTGTCAGCAAGAAGTTTTTTTACCTGAGTTGTCCAGTGAGACTCGGGACTTTAACAAAGATACCTTGATATGGGCCATGGAACCCAAGCTCTGTTGTTCCTCTTCAGTGGCAAGACCAAGCAGGTCAAGTATTGATGGATCTGGCTGGAGTGAGTTTTCCCGTGAGGGCAGGGAATTGGATGACTTACCCACTCTCTGGCGGACAGGGCAGTCGCATTTCCAGCAACCCTCAGGCTTGTAGATGTCCTAGTGATGGCTGCCGGTTGGTGCAGGCTCATGCCCAGTGTCCTTCTTCAGCACACTTGGCTCAGGTGGCAACATTGTTTAGGCTCAGCATTACCTTGTCAAGGTCCTGCTTTGATGGGAGTCCCGAGTGTCGCAGCCAAAATTTGGCCCTGTGTATAGTTAATTTTGGTCTCTATTATTGAAGACGTGGAAAGTTAGATTAAGTAAGTTTTCCTGTGGGGTTTGAGGGCTGAGATCCGTGTTTTAAGTTTGGCGTGAATGTCAGGAACAGATAGGGATATGAAATAGGAATTAATAACATTTTTTGGAGAATTTGAATCTACATTAGTATACTTAGTTTGGAGCAATACATTTCATTATTAGAATGCTGAGTACCAAGTACCTTGAAATATATTACTATTTTCTTTTTTTTTTTTTTAGTAGCCAGTGTGGCATGGCACCGCACACCACATCCTGGGTTCAGAGGCCAGCACGGCATGTGGTACTGGGGATCGAACTCTGGTCCTTGTGCTTGCCAGGCAGGTACTTAGACTGCTGAGCTATCTCCCCAGCCTACCTTGGAATATAAAGTGTAACTAGAGAAGTGTCATTTTTTACCAGCCATGGACATTTTAACAGTTAAATCCCTGTAGAATGTTAGCGGGCAACAGTTACATATTTTTTGTAGAGAATACGTGTCATCTAGGGTTATGCACAGTAGGGTAATACAGCAGTCATAACAGGTGGTGGAGCCCCCATTTTGTTTTGGCATCTCTAGACGTAATGGCACACACACACATATATATCACATAAATTTTAGTTAGAAAGGCATTATTTGGCTGATGACCTCATGTTGGCTTGACAGGAACCTCTTATTATAAAGGCCTGACGTATAAGAGAAGGCATGTTTAAATCTGAAAGAAAATTTACATTGTAGAATACTGTATATTTGGAAGGCATAATATATTTAATATATTGAACATCCTTTATGAGAAAACCCTATTTTAGTTTTTTTTTTTTTTTCACTCAGACTCATTGTTTATTTAAAGAGGAAAACAGCTAGATATGTCAGCTAATCTTTCACTGGCTTTTGGGAGGCTCTGTGATCACTGTTGTCTGGCAGTTGCACTCCCATGCTCTGTAAGAGATTTGAGGCAGGCCCTGCCAGGCCAGCTTGGGAGCTGTAGGATTCCAATATATTTGAAACCAGGTTCAGGTCTACATCCACTGGGGCCAGAACAGAATCTCTGGCACCAGAATCTTCCTCATCTGAATTGTTATTGGTAGTCTGAGATGAAGGCTTCTTATTCACTTGCTTGCTAGTGGTAAAACTTTTGCCCATGCTGGTATGTGCCAGCTCCTGGTCCATTTGGGCCATGTATGACTTGAGGCTGTCAAGAGCTCCTTTCAGAGAAGCTTCTTCACCAGGTTCCTGAGTTTCGAGGTCCACCTCATCATCACTGTCTAAACATTCAAAGTCTTCCTCATCCAGATCATCAGAGTCTGACGCCTGAGTCTTCGGTCCTAAAATTTTATCAAAATAATTAAGAAAGGCATCTGTATCAAAAGTGATTGGAGCCTCAGAAGATTCTTGGGGCAGCTCTGCTCCCTTGTGGGTTGAGACTTTGGATATGAAAGCCTTCATGCTGTCTGTGACTTGAGTTAAGTCATAGTTCTGCTCCTCCTCCTCCTTCTTGGAAATGGGTTGTGATTCTCTTGTGCCAGCAGCCTCCTGCAGTAGCTGATCCAGCTGATCTGGTGAAAGCTCTAACCAGTGGTCATCATCCTCTGGAGGAAGGTTAGCTTCTTCTTAAGCTCTTCTATATCAAATGGTACTGTCTGTAATATGGTCAAGATTTCTTCACCAGGGCTCATAGCAAGTGAACTTTCTGTTCGATTTACTGAGAGTTGGAAGTAGTTCTTTGCCATTTCTAGCCTTTCCTGGTATTGAACAGAACCTTCTATGAGTCCCTTAAAATAATCATTCTTTTTCAGACTTTCAAGGAAGCCAGCCCAGAGTGGTGAGGTAGTCACAAGGGACTTCTTGGTGTCCAAAAACTGTGGGCTACATTTGGAGCATAAGATCTCGAATCCATGAGCCAGCTTCATGCCCAGTTCATGGGCTCGGTACTGGGGGTGAGATGGAGGTGGCAGCCGGTATCCACTCCCTCGGTCTGGCACAAACCTCTGTTGTGCCAACTGTGCGTAGAGACATTTAGTGAAAGTAACTGATGTCATTATTTGCGTTTCCGGTAAGAATGTCTTGAAGACACGACAGGCTCGCAGGTCAACTGGATCCCGCAGGTAAAAAGCCTGGACAGTAGCTGCCACCAATCTGAGCCACTGCTTTAGTACCACTGCAATGCCAGCTGGAAGGAAGCAATGTGCTCGGTGCAGCAAGGCCTGAATTTTCTCTGGGTACCCACTGATGTGCCTATTAACAGTGGCTCGTACGGATTCTGAAGACAAAACCTTTTCTGGGTGTGCTGAGTTTATATTTAATGCTTGTGGGATTGTTGGGGGAGTGGCGGGTAACCAGTATACTGCTTCAGATTTCTTTGGTACAGGAATAATGCACAACTCCCCATGATGGAAAAACACCCTATTGACACTATTATCAGGATCTAACCATTTAGGGAGAAAGTCAGCAGCTTCTATTAACAAGAATTCACCATCATTATCTTCAATCCTGGCTACTAACTGTGGAAATTCCTTTGTAATCTGTTTTATTAGATATACAATAAACCATTCATCTTCAATATTGTCCCCAAACTTTGTCATGCCACATATATGAGCAGGAACACCTCTTTTGCCAGGTTTATATTTGAGATTAAAAGGTTGGTTCTGCCAGATATAGGGAGCCAGCATAGGTGCAAATTGGCTCATTATTTTCTCAATATACTTCTCAAGAATCTCTCTGTGTTTTTCTGGGTCCATTGATTCATCTGGTATCAGGAACAGGTGGTACTCCACAGTGTCTTCCACTGCAGCGAGCATGATATTTTCCTCCATTCTTCTTTGAAAAAGCTTTAGGTCTTCTCCTGCGTTTCTCCACCAGGGCTCTTTTCTTGGGTCACCTGTTTCACTGTGACTCGGAAACTACCACCAGCCGCCCAAATCTGAAGCAGTCTGGCTCTCAACGCGCCCTGGAACTCGAGAGCTCCTATTTTAGTTTTTGAAAAAAATTATTTTAACCAAAGGTCAAATTATTAGGAGTGTCAAGGAGATTATTGGGGGCTCTTTATTGATGAGCAAAGGTTGGCCACCCTTTATCCACCAATCAAGAGTCTTGTTTAATAATCTCTCCCCATTTTAATGATTTTTATTTAATTATAAATTAATTTTGAGGGTGCTGGGGAGATGGCTCAGTGCAATAAGCACTTCCCTGGCAAGTGCAAGGGCCTGAGTTCAATCCCCTGTTCCACTCCCCCAAAAATTAATTTTGATATCAGTTAAACCAGCTGGTAACTCAGGAGAAAGCATTTTTTAAGTCTATATCTTAGAGCTCAAATAAAAAAGGAAAAGCTGTGTGTTAGTTGATACATTGTGTCAACTGGGCTGAATCAGCTGCGGCAGATCTCAGCAGTGGAGACCTCGCCCTGCAGGTGGGCAGGGCCCAGGAACTGAGGAAGGCAGGAAGCCACCCTGCCTGGTCTCCTGCTGCCCCGCCCGCTTCTGGGGAGAAGTCTGTCTTTGGAGGAGCTTGTGGACTGAACCCTCCAGTAACTGTGAGCTAAATAAACCTTTCCTTCCTTCATTTTGAGTGTAGGGTATTTGTCCCAGCAATGAGTAAAAAGTAACTAAGACAGAATTTGGTACCAGAGAAGTGGGGTCGTTGCTGTGGCTATACCTGACAATGTGGATTACAAGCTTTTGGGACTGGCTTATGGGAAGAGATAGGAACGATGCAGAGATGTCGCCTGCAAGCAAAGCGCTGGAACAGCTTCAGCTGTTCTGTTTGGGAGATTCTGGTCAGAGCTCAGAAGACCAGAAGGTTGATAGAAAGCCGGCCTGTAAAGACCACGCCGGGGAGGTTTCTGCTGGGAAGAAGGACAGCTTTGGTTGTTGGACTGCGGATGATCTGTGTTATGGGTTGGCAGAAGGCTTGTCTGCATTTTGCTCCTGTCCAGAGACTGCCTGAGACTGAAATTAAGCACAGTGGACTAGTTAATCTTGAAAAAGAAATTTCAAAGCAGCCAAATGTTGGGACAGTGGCATGGTTGCTGTTGGGGGCTTTTAGCCAGATTTATGTTAAGAATGAAGAACAAAGATCCCAAAAGGATGATTTAAAATGTTGTGAGTTTGGCTGGAAAGGAAGCTACTGGAAGGCTGTGGACTGTGAAGACAAAGCTGAGAGGATCTCCATTGCTGAGAAGAAACAGGAGAGTAGAAAAGATGTCCTGAGGGCATCACAGGAGGTGGCAGGTTCTTGCCCTTTGCAGCCTCAGAATCACAAGAGTGAGGGACTTTGCTTTGAGGAGAAAGCTACAGAGCCCCATGTTCCAGAATGGAGGCGGCGGCCACACCAGATTACAGAATGGCGCCAACATAGAGAATTTGTTTCTCGGAATCAGAGTCAGAATGCTCAGCAATCCAGGCACTCAGTTCTTGCAGTCAAGAGAGAAGGAAGCTTGCTTACTGCTCCAGCTGGCAGCAGCCCTTGGCATCATCCACGTGGCTTTGGTTGTAGGCGCATGCAGAATGCAGGCGTTCTGAGGTTCAGAAGGCTTCCACCCAGATTTCAAAAGAAGGCCTGGGAAGCCAGGCAGTGTGCCCATGAGAGGGCAGTGTGCTAAGCTGTTAGTGAGAAGCCTACTCAGTGGAACCCCCAGAAGTTTGAAAAATCCAGGAATGTGGATGGTCTAAGAAAAGCTGCAAAAAGGGAGCAAAGCAGGCCTGAGAGAAAAGCCATAGGAGCTACCAGCAGAAGTGCCACAGGGGTGGAGCCACGTAAGGCTTCTGGAGCTCACTACTCATTACAGGGTGCTTTGAATGGTCCACAGGGCACTTCAGGACTGAACATTTGCCCTTCTGGACCTTGGACTTGTTTTGGTCCCAGGTGTTCGTATCCTGCTGTGTATCCCTTTTGGAATGGCAAGGCCTATCTTGTGCCTGTGAATGTTAGAAGTATTCAACTTTTCATTCAGTTAAGAGTTTGCCTTAGATCTTGGAAGCTTGGGACTTGGATTTTTCAGTGTTGCTGAAACTGGTAGGACTTTGGCAACTCTTAGAGATGGACTAAAATGTTTTTTGCAAAAACGGTTGTGCATTGAGTCTTTGGAGGGCCAGGGGTAACGTGTCATGGTTCTAATGTAATGCAATGTTCAATTTGTAAAACGTTTAAGCATCTCTGTGTACCTGGAAATTGGCTTTAAAAAGTATATGTCTAGTTGCCAAGTTGACAAGGGATGGATTGTGTTAGTTGATACATTGTGTCAACTTGGCTGAATCAGCAGCAGCAGATCTTAGGGTGGGAGCCTTGCCCTGCAGGTGGGCAGGGCCCAGGAATTGAGAAAGGCAGGAAGCTGCCCTGCTTGGTTTCCTGGTGCCCTGCCCTGCTTCGTGGAGAAATCTCAGTCTTACGAGGAGCTTGATCTTGACAGCCGCACCACTTTGGAGGAGCTCCGATCTTCACTGTGGAGCGCTGATCTTGATCTTCGCAGTCAGCTTAGAAGGAAGAGAGAAACTTGATGGACGCTGCCGCAGCTACTGTTCCTCCTCTGCTCTTCATTGTTTTCTGCTGTGTGAACTGCTGTTGTTTGCCTTGCAGCCAGCGGAATATGGACTGAACCTTCCAGTAACTGTGAGCTAAATAAACCTTTCCTTCCTTCATTTTGAGTGTC